CCTTTGTTGCTTGTGCTGCTGTTGCTGCTGCTGCTGTTCCCTCTGGTTCTGATGCTCCTAGTGCTGTGCGGGTCACAGTTGGCCCAAGGAGATGTTGCTGGTGACACTGCAGCAGTAGCAGCAGCAGACAAAAAAGGAATTGCTCTTCTGCTGCGTCGTATTAGAGGGGGCTGTTGTTACTTTTGGTCGTTTCGGTTTCAGCATACCTCTAGCAAGCGCATGCAGTCGCTGTAGAGCTGCTGCTGCTGCAGCTGCTGCTGCTGCCGCTGCTGCAGGGCTGCAGGTAGCTGCAATGGCCACGCACTCGCTGCTTCGCTGCAGTGTAGCAGCAACAGCTCCTGTGTTCTTTGCTGCAGCAGCTGCTGCTCTGCTCTACGAGTTCCTTCAGCAGCCAGCCCCAGCTGCAGAATCCACACAGAAAAATAAAAAGGCAGTTTGCTGCTGCTGCTGCTGTTGCTGCTAGCCGAGATGACTCTGCTCCGGCAGCAGAAATATCGAGTTTCTTTGCCGCCGCAGCAGCAACCCATGATGCAACAGCAGCAACTAACATTTCAGCAGCAGTCCTCACCAGTAGTTTCCAACTCCCACTGCATGCATCCCCAGGCTGCAGCAGGCCTCCCTGCTGCTGCTGCTGCTGCTGCTTCAGCTGTGCCCATACCAGCAGCTGACCCCGCAATCCCCTTGCTGCTGCTAGCAGCAGATCCTCTGAGACGTGTCTGAAAGAATGCGCACAACAGCATGTAGGTGGCTGTGCCGTTGCCGCTACTGTTGCTGCTGTCGCCGCTGCTGCGGCTGCTTGTGAGATGCTGCTACTGCTGCTGCTGCTGCTTTCAGCACTGCCACAAGCATTACCTGAGGGTCCGAAGCACTTGATGAGACGCCAGCTCAAACGCCCTGTGTGCCGCATGTAGCACTGCTGGTGCTGCCGGGGTTGCTGCTGCTGCTGCTCTCCCTGCCGCTAATGAGCCTTCAGCCTTCTCTGGCGCATACGATGAAGCTGTGGCTCTCCCACCTGTTGGGTCTTCCGCTCCAGCTGCTGCTGTTGCTGCTGCTGCTGCTGCCGACGCCGTTGCTAAGGCAGCGCGTGGCAAGTGCAGCAGAACGGCATGCAGCGTGTCTGGCAAGGCCGGTGCTGCTGCTGCTGCTGCTGTTGCAGTCGACGGCGTCGCTGCAGGGAGCGTCTCCGCTCTGTGGCGCTGCAGCAGCAGCGAGCGCGGTAGTGCCTTGCAGACGCTAAGGACTGCTCTTAGTGCTGCTGCTGCTGCTGCTGGCGCTGCTGCTGCTGCTGCCGGGGCTCCGACAGCAGCAGCAGCGAGCACCAACTGCTGCTGCTGCAGAGACAGCTCCTCTGCACCCTCTCTTGCAACCCAGTCCAAGACAGACCTGCGAAACCCAAACGTTAAACCCTAAAGCGTAGACGTCAAACCCTGAACCCTAAACCCTGACATCGCCCTCTGCCTAGAGCCAAGCTTACTGTAAGTGCCTCCCACCTCAAGATCGCACGTTAACCCTACACCCTAAACCCTAATTGTAGGAGGCATGTGCTTCCTAAAGTGTAGAGTACAGTAGTGTAAGGGGGCAGCGCCTTACTCAAGAGGCAAACGCAGAGATGTGTCTGCTGCTGCTGCTGTTGCCTGCAGCAGCGCAAGGCGGTGCTGCAGCTGCAGCAATGGAAGAGAATGCAGCAGCCGGAGAAGTAGCTGCCGCCACGCTGCAAGCCACACAGCTGGCTGAACAGCCATTGGGTCGCCATTTGCTGCAGCTGCTGCATTCGCTGCTGCTCCTGCTGCTGCTGTTGCTGCTGTCTCGGACGCACATGAGTCTGCTGGCTGTGCCTGCCACTGCTGCTGCTTCTGCTGCGGCTGCTGTGATGCTTCACGCAGTGGGGCCATCCATTTAAGAATAGACAGCAGATGCTGGGCGGTGAGCGGGACCAGAGGTTCGTGCTGCTGCTGCTGCTGTTGTTGTTGCTGCTGCTGCACGCGTGGGGCGAACTCGCGTGCGAACGGGTCTTGGTCTACAGCCAGCATACTTGAAAGGGAAGGGCACAGCCACCTGGAACAGCAGCGAAAGACAGCACCAGCTAGTGCAGCAGTGATTCATGCAGACAAGGCTGCTGCTGCCGCTGCTGCTGTTACTGCCGCTGCTGCAGTGAAGATGCAGCAGCAGCGAGCTGCTTACAAAGCCTATTCGTTCTCAGCATCCCGACACCAATTACTACAATTGTTTACCACTAATTGAAAATAATAATGCATAAAGATATGCTGCAACGCGTTGCACATTTATCCAGTCATTGCTGAATATTTATTCCGTCACTGCTTAGCTGGGAACTCATTGCTGATGTGCAACTTGCTCTCAAGCTCAAATTGAGCGGAAAGTAACAACAATAAACGGTAATTTGTTTCTACAACCGTTCTGTTGGCAACTAATTAATACAACAAGGCGCGCTGCTGAAGTAACTGCAGCTGCAGCTGCAGCAGCAGCTGCGAAAGGGCCTAACATGAGTAGACTTACAGCAGCAAGTAACGCTCTAGCTGATTGTTCCGCAGCCGTGCTGCAGCGAGGCCTTCGCTGCAGGTAGAGCCCAACACAGCAGCAGCAGCAGCAGCACCAGAGTCTATAGTGTGCAACAGGGGGAGCTAGAGGCCCAGGAAGACATGCAGTAGAAGCACCTGCATGCAGCCTGCTTAGAGCGCCGCTGTAGTAACGGCAGCGCTGCAGCAGCAGAAGCAGAAGCAGCACTGGAAGCAAAAGTGCCTACCAAATGAGCCCAATCTCCTGTCCCCCAGCTCGCCCCTCTAGCAGCGCCAGAGGCAAAGCTTCAGCTGTCTGCTGCAGCAGCAGCACTGCCTCCTTGTGCAGCAGCTCATAGACCTTGACAGCTGCTGCTGCAGCGCCGCAGCCGCTGGCTGCAGCGACGCTGCAGATCGTGTCAGCCGCAAACGGAGAGACACAAAGCTGCGGCGGAAGCTGCTGCAGCAGCAACAACTCATTTTCAGGCACTGAAGTGCTGCCAGCATAGGGGGCAACAGCAGCAGCCGCTGCTGCTTCTGCTGCTGCTGCGACAGGGGCTGCCGACGTGCTGCTGCATGCAAAACCAGCTGCAGCCCGTCTGCCCCTTTGCGCCGTCGCGGCAGCAGCGGCCTCAGCAGCAGCAGCAGCAGGAGATGAATCAACGGCAGCAGCAGCTGTGAGAATGTGCATGCGGGAAAGGCAGCCAATTATGCCCGCAAGGTGGCGCACTGCAGCAGAATCTGCGTCCGTGCGCCTGGCGCGCCGCAGCAGCAGCAGCAGCAACGCAGGGTCTGTCTCTGCAGCAGCAGCAAAGCAGCAGAACAAGTAGCAAATGTCTGCAGTAAAAAACAACGACCAGCAGCAGCAACACCGCCGTTGCAGAGATCGTACAGCAGCAGCAGCAATGCAGCAGAAGCAAACAGCCGACAGCCGCAGCAATGCAGCTGCAGCAAACAACAAACAGCAGCAGCACGCCAGCAACAGCAAACAGAAAACAGGAGCAGCACTTCAGCAGCAGCAAGTAAGCGAGACACACCCCGAAATCGTTCGCAGCAGCGGAGCTGCTTGTACACCTCAGAGAGGCCCATATCTTCATGAGCAGCAAGATGCTGCAGCAGCACCCTCCACCCCAGGTGCAGCACCGCCTTCTGTCTCTCGCGCTGTTGCTGCAGCATCCCCAACTGGTGCTGCTGCTGCTGCTGCTGTGGCAGTTGCAGCAGCAGCTCCTGGAGCGGCGGGGTGCCCGTTCGGAGCCGCAGCGTGGGCTTTGGCTCTACCTGCTGCATGTGCTGCTGCACGGCGCTGCTGGTGCTGCTGCTGTTTTGCGGTAGTTGCTCAGTGATGCTGCTGCTGCTGTTCTGCGGCAGCTGCTGAATGGTGCTGCTGCTGCTGCTGTTCTGCGGCAGCTGATGAATAGTGCTGCTGCTGCTGCTGCTGTTCTGCGGCAGCTGCTGAATGGTGGTGGTGCTGCTGCTGCTGTTCTGCAGCAGCTGCTTCACACCTCCCCCAGCAACAGGAGGCGCCAGCCGTGGCACGAGAGCTAGGACAGAATGCTGCTGCTTCTGGTGGTGCTGCTGCTGCCTCAGGAGCATCGGCAGTGTAACAGCTTGGTGCTGCTGCTGCTGCTGCAGCTGCATCTGCTGCAGAAGCGGGCGCAGGTTCTTCAGCAATAGCTGCAGCGGCAGACGCCGTGGCCGTGCTGGCAGCAGCAGACAGCACTTCAGGAAGTTCTTGACTGCAGCAACAGCAGCACCAGCAACAAATGCAGCAGAAGCGACACTCGCTGCAGCAGTAGCTGTGGCAGCCGGACGAGCAGCAGGCGCAATCCAGCAGCAGCAGCAGGCGCGATCCAGCAGCAGCAGCAGCAGCAGCAAGGTAACAGTTGGGAGCAGACACAGCAGCAAACAAAAGCATCTACCTTTTGGGTCCAGCAGCACTTCGTCTGCAAGTGGGGATTTCGTTCCTCCACGCATGCGTTGTCGCGTCCTGCGCACTTGCTGCTGGTGCTGCTGCTGCTGTAGCTGCTGCTGCTGCTGTAACTGCTGCTGCTGCTGTAAATGCTGCTGCTGCTGCTGCTGCAACTGTTGTTCTCGGTGTTGATGATGCGGCTCTGAGGAGCAAAACGCCGCCGCGCTGCTGTGCTGCTGCCGCCACAGCGTCAACAAATGACTCATGTGCTTCTGGGCTTGCAGCAACTGCTGCTGCCTCTGCAGCAACGGCTGCTGCGAAGGACTCCGCTGCTGCAGCTGCAGCTGCTGCTGCAGCGCCAGCGGCGGCTGCAGCAGCTGATGCTTGAAACAAACGAGCATCATTACCTTATCCTTGCTGGTGCTGGGGTTTGCACCTGCTACAGCAGGCTGCTGCTGCTGTTGCTGCTGCTGTTGCTGCTGCCACTGTCGCTGCTATGGCTGCTTCATGAGCAGGGCTGTGTCCAGACAGCACGGACGCAGCAGCAGCAGCAGCAAAGCCAGCTCACAGCAGCAGCATCATATGCTGCTGGGATCGTTTGCTGCAGCTGCTGCGGAAGCAGCAATAGTCAGAGCTTCTGCAGCAGCCGCCGCTGCAGACACTGCTGCAGCAAACGCCCCGGAAGCAGCCTGTGCAGCAGCTGCTGCAGCAGCAAAGGCCTCAGCTGCGCTCTGCTGCAGCTGGACCTGAAGGTGATGCTGCTCGTCGTTGGGGAGGCAACTGCCTTGGGGCTGCTGCTGCTGCTGTTGCTGCTGTTGCTGCTGCAAGTGGCGGAACAGCACTTGTCGCTGCAGATGCTGCAGCTGCTGCAGCTGGTCTGGGGAGTAGGCGCCCTGTGACTCCTGCTGCGGCTGCTTCCCTTGTAGCAGCAGCAGCGGCTGCTGGTGTTGCTGCTCTGTTACCCGCTCCTGCTGCAGTTGCTCAGGCAGCTGCCGCTGCAGCGGTGGCTGCAGGCGCTGCTCCTGCTCAGCCTGAGGCAGCGGCTGCAGCGGCAACTGCTGCTGCTGTTGCTGCAGTGCTGGGTCTCGGCAGATCATACTGCTGCTGCTACTGCGTTGCAGTACTTCTTTTGCTGCGCCCACTACTGGCGTGGCTGCTTCTGCAGCGCCCCCACCTGCAAGTTGGGGTGCTGCTGCGTGCTGCAGCGGCGTTGCTGCTACGGCTACTGCTGCTTCTGCTGCTGCTGCTGCTTCTCCCGATCCCACAAGGCGCCTCGATGCCCCTGTCTGCTGCACACTTGCTGGGCTTGAAGTGTCTGAGGAGCAGTTGAGGAGCCGGCAACCGCCTTTAGGTGCCTTCGGCTCCCTGTTGCGGCAGCACCAGCAGCGGCTGCTGCTGCTGCTGCTGCTGCTGTGGCCACTGCTGCTGCAGACAGGAGCACAGGGGGTCCTGCTAGCGATTGAATCGACGGAGCCTTGTCCAACGAGAACACTTAAATGCACACACTGGCTGCTGTAAACTGGGATCTGCACAATGCAACCAAATTCGAGAAGCCTCTACAGAGTGGGTTTCCAGATGTATTGTTTCGTTTGCTGCTGCCGTGCTGCTGCTGCTGCAGTGGGGAGGGCCCCAAGGGGGGCCCCTGGGGCTCGTGTGCGCATGCAGCGCTACACCTTAGCTTCTTGTGTGCAAATAAATATGTTTATTTTCATGTATTTACCCCTTGTGCAACATATGTCATGCTTGGAAGTCAGTGGGACCGAGTGACCTCCTCCCCTGTCCATCACCGATGGAACAAATACTCCCTAACGTCACAATTCAGGGATCTTTAGCGCAGCAGCAAACTAATTAGAAAGCTGCTGCAGTAGCTTTCAAGCCTGGCTGTTTCCTTACGTGCTGCACGGGGCGCCCACGCCTGCAACTGCCAGGTCTTAGCCGCAGCGGTGAAGGGAAGGCGCTCAAGTTTGTTTGAGTGTTCATGGCAGTAGCTGCTAGGTCTTTGTGCTGCTGTTGCTGCTGCTGCTGCTGCGAGCTTGCCCGCGCCAGTGTGCTCCCGAGACATGCAGCTGGCAGAAAGAGAAGCAGTGGAGGGTACGGAGAGCTGCAAGAGAATAGTCAATATTGAAATTTAGGGGGAGAAATTATAAATTATTTGATGCAAAAGCTTAAAAGAACTTATTTGAAATGCACTCAGATGTAGTTTAGTGACTAACTAGCAGACAAACTAGGACGTCCCCATATCTTTGGTCTTCTAATTCTTGCAAGAACCCACGCATTGCGCGGACAAGCAGGGCCCCTCATGGCTAGAGTAGGGTCCCAGGCCTATAAATTGGATATTCATTGGAAGCCATTTCTCCATATCTTAGCAAAGATCCCGTTGCCATGTCTGCAGAAGCTCATACGTAAGACTTCCAGTGAAAAGAGGCCCCTGAAGCTGTTTCAGCCACAGTTATAGACAGTGTACCCCTGTGCTGGAGCTTCTATTTAGACCTTACCGCCAACACCCATTTTATTTGTAGGCACTCAGCCGAATCTATACAATAAGTGGGGCATTATAAGGCCCTATGTGCCAGAGTGTGTCTACGGCTTTCCCCATGAAACCCAGAGAGCTATTCATATATGCTCCCAGTCAACCTTGGATGAGGCTCTGTTTGAATTGAAGCGGTTTCTTTGCAAGGAGTGCGACTTGGCGGCCGGCGCTTGCGCGTCGTAGGCCCTTAGAAAGCCTAAGTTGCATATTCATCACACGCAGCCAATAAGGATTTTGCAGCTTTCTGGTTCCGCTGAAGGTGTGCACGGTCTAGGGCTTTCTGTAGCATAGTGTCTCATAATACCACAACTTCTTAGCATGTCTCTGAGTCTCTTCAGCAGTTCCTTCCTGGCAGGGAATGCTTTGCTTGACGGCCCCAAACCTTATACTGGTAGAGGGCTAACGCCTCTTTCTGGAACCTTTGCTCTCGGGAAAGACCTTCTTCCTGTGATGTGTTCTGGTAGTTGTGCTTGTTTAAAGTCCTTGCAGAATTGATAATTAGTAGCCTTTTTGTCAATTGCCTGCTGTGGCCAGTCACGACCAGCGCATGCGAGCCAAGGCATCGGCTGCTTCATTGCGCGATGATAACTTTGGCGTTTCAACTTCATCGTTTCCGCCCACAAACCGGCTAAGAAGGTCGTTTTGTATATGCTTAGCATCTCATCCTTTGTACTAGTTGCGTCTTGCTTTACTAGGATTTCGAACTGTACAATATTCGATGCGTGATCACTGTTCTATTCGACTTTGGCCAGCAGTTCAAGTATTTTTCTTTTAGACTACAGGAGATACTATGGAGCTGCTGTTTCGCAAGACTCCCAATTTTAAATTGTACAGTATCACCAAGACTCGTCAACCGCAGAAGAAGAGCAGAACGTCCTACCCAGCCAAGCTGTTCCATTGCGTCGGCCTTCACGCCAAGCGGGCGGAGCCGAAGCCCACGCAGCCGAGAAAGTTCATCTGAATGCTTTCTTTCCGCACTTTTTTGTAAACTAAAATGCCTTTCTTAAGCTTTTTGTCCCAGCACGGCCCGCAGTGGTTGACCTTGGAGGTGAGCTGCTAGGCGAGGCCACGGGTGAACACCTCTATGGCAAAGGTGTTCACCACCTACAAGGCAAATGCTTACCAGAAGTTCAACGAAGTGTTTGTTTCTGAGTTGCTGTTTATACGCGAGGTGTGTGAGGCAGCTCACCGATGCCAGAGCAGTCAACTGTGTTGCGGAAGCTGGGCTTAGTTCCCCGAAGCTTTGTTCTCAGAAGTTGACAGGATTAGATATCTTTGTAGCATCGCATAGGGATAATTTAAATGGAACACTGTGACTGAACACATAATTTGCAGAGCAATTAAAAGAAGACTGGCCTCCGTTTGCGGCGACTGACCCACAGCATCACCCGCACCCCACTGCGGCGTTGCTGACTTCCTGAAACCCCCAGCCTGGATGAGGAGTAGCTAGAGTCTGACCACACTCAAAAATGAGTTACTTTGAAGGCACCATGGCAAAGTATTGCGTTGATTCTGCTTATTCTGGCGTATGAACTTCCCCAACGCCGCCATACTGTCTCACTGTAGTTCGCAGCAATACACATGGGCATCGAGCGCCGGGTTTAGACAGATTCCAAAGCTGCGCATCATTTGTCTCTTTTTATCTTACTAAAACTCATCGTAGAGACAGCTTTAGCTGGATCCTTTGTTAAGCTGTACATTTGCAGCATCAAACGAAGCTCGTTTTTGTTTTAGTGCGCCTTCGCATGGCTGCTAGCTTCGTTTGACCGCTTAGTGATTAACGCTTCAAAGCACGCACGCTGCAGCTTTGGAGCACTAGAAGTTATGCACATGACATAATAATAAAAAAAGCAACGGGACCCGCTGTCCTGCTGTTCCAGGCAACCGCTACTGATCGTGGTAACAGTGAGGCAGTTTCTTTCCACGATTCAGCCAACCCTGGTCAACCAGAGCAACCTGGCCAAGCCACACTGCGAATCTGGCTCTTCGAGACCGCAAAATAGCGACACATGTTTATTTCCAGGCAATACGAACACTTAAGTAGCTTGCAGTACTCCCCAGCAGTGCAGGTTGCCCAGGATAGCAGTACGGCCAGTGCTGAAAGCCTCTTCCTAGGGGAGTTAACCCTTTATTCCTTCACAGACACATAGAGGAACGTACCACTGATTCGCCAATATCCGATGACTCATACAGCTTCTGTGGAACGAACCCCTGTCGCAAGCCTTCGCCGAGATGATCTACGCCGTAGATCAGGCGCGCTTCTCCTTAGAAAGCCTGCACCTCTTGCCTCCCGCTTTTCTCGTGTATCTCATCGTGCATGCAGTCTTACACATGTATAGAAAGACACTGCTTAGCATCTCCGTTTCAGGCCAATCTTCATGGCGCTCTATTTGAATACATGCTTTCGCCGCGTCTCCAGCAAAGGTCCACACCACTGAAGATCTACGCAGGCCTACCTCGCAAAACTCATAGATTATTCATGCGCCTGGGAAGCCGATAGAAACGAAGGAGAAGGCCCAGATGGTGCCAGGGAAGGCCACGCTGGGCAGTGTTCAGGGGCTGCTTTCCCAAACTTCAGGACTTGCATGGCAGTTGTCACATGATGCAGATTGTAATGGAATGCAATCTGGTTACTGTATTTCGCATTGAATCTCTTGAGATGCAGGGAGCCCGCCTGTAGGACAAAGATCCCACTAATGTGCATGAGTTAAGAGCTGCACAGAAGCCTTAGAGAGCCGCAGCGCGCCGAGATGAGGCTGCAATATTTGGCGCCACACAGAACTCGAGAACTTAAATTTGTAGTTTAAGTTTAAAGGCTTCTGGGCGCACAGAGAATAATGTTTTGGACTACATTTTACGGGTAGGCCACAGAAAGCAGCCCTCACGACTGCTAATTGCTGCCAAACTCAAAGTCACAAGAGAGGGTTCAGCAGCAAAGCCACAGCTTTCCAGGCTAGCGCAGCATGCTGCAGCGCCTGGCTCCCTTTGGTGTCCTTCTAAGGCACTGCAGGCCATAGGCCATACTTGAAGATTTTAGCTTTATGCAGTAGCAGAGTCCTGCAGGCTGGTGTTCCCCCTTAATAGTAAAGCAACGCAGAGGCCCCCTATCTGGCCGCTAAATAGACAAGGCCTGCAGCGTTGCAGAGCGCTATAGCCATCAGATCCTGCAGCAGCAAGCTGTCTGCAGCGGGCCTGCAGCAAATGGCTCAAAGGCAGCGCACTGCACACAACATGAGGCCCCTGGGACCTCTAAAGTTGCCAGTAAACCTTAGAGGTCCCAGGGGCCTCATGTTGTGTGGGGAAGCAGCTGCAGCAAACCCGCCCGTGTGCTGCACGTAATCTGAAGCCTCTGGCCTTCCTCGCAGCAGCGCGCAGCAAAAGGTGCAGCAGCAGCAGGCTCTTGATGCCAGAAGGCTCAGCGCTCCCCCCCGCCGAGCGCAGCGGCCCTGCAGTGTGCCGAGCCCCTCTTCCCATCCCTTGCAGCGTCTCGCAACTCTTTCGCTTCTGCTGCAGCTCGGGGCCCCCGAGGGGGGCCCTGGGACTGCAGCAGCAGCGGGCTTCTGCTGGGCATTTGGCCGCTTCCGGGGGAAGGCCGCGGGCGCGGCTCGGAGGGCAAGAGGCCCATTGAGGACAGACAGAGATCTAAGCAGGGGTGTTGTGTCCATAAGTCCCGAAGTAAACAAAGGCAGCAGAGATTGGAGAGAAGGAAGCGATATCCTCGCTCCCTGCTTCCCAGTTGCTGCGGCTCTGTCGCTCTCTGTCTTTCTCGGAGCTGACACACCGCTGAAGAATCGTTTGGGCGGAGTTTCAAAGGGTCAATTAACACCCTTTTGAGGGTTAAGAGCGCTGAAGCCGCCTTTTTCTCGGTAGAAGATGGAGGGAGACTGTCTACATCCGTCCTTGTAGGGTCTGGCGCAGCAGCAGCAGCAACGACGACGGGGGCCGCCCAGCGGCAGCCAGCAGCAGCATGTTTCGGCTCTGTTTTTTTTCCATTGCTGCTTATATTTAGAACGTTTGCCTTCATGGGGCCGCGCCAGAACTTCCCCACCCCAGAGGAGCCATCCCTGCCTCGTTTCTGTGGGGTCCTCCCGCGGCAGGGGTAGACACCTTGGGCGTCTGCCTTCACCGGTTTCCCCCCCAAAGGTCCCTTTAAACTTCATTTTCTTTCATTTCGCCTCAACTGCGTTGCTGCCTCAGCCGCCGGCCCCGCGCCACCTCCACCTCAGACACGTTGCGCGCCGGCGGCGCTCGCCTCCGGCCGCCACCTTCGCCGGATTCTCGTCTTCTTTTGCATTTCTTTCATTTAGGGGGATGAGCAAATCTGAACAGACTCCTAGAGGCCCCAAAATGAAGCCTACGGCTGGCGGGGGCCCCCCTGCTGCGCCGCCCGCAGCAGTAGCGGCCTCCCAGCCGCCGCCGCCCGCAGCTGCTCCGCAGCCCGCAGCGCCTGCTGCTGCGGCTGCTGCTGCTGGGCGGCCGCACAGCGCTGCTGCTGCTGCGGCGGCGGCAGCCCCGGCAGCAGCGACTGGTGCGCGGAGCTCGGCAGTGCCGCGCCCGTCCGTAGGCGCAGCGGCAGCAGCAGCAGCAGCTGCTGCTGCTGCAGCGGCCTCCGCCGCCGCGGGCGCCCGCGCCCACGCAGCAGCGCAGGGCTCCCGACGTGGCAGCACGGGGGGCCCCTGCCCCGGCATGGTGCAGGTGGGGGACCTGCCAATTCACAAACACCGAGACAAGATCTTGGAACACATTAACAACAACTTCATAACTTGCATTCAGGGGGAAACTGGCTGCGGCAAAAGCACGCAGGTCCCCAAGTTCCTGCTGGACCAAGATGCAGAGATTCAGAAGGCCCTCGCGGCCCTGAAGGCGGGCGGCAAGGCCCCCCCCTCCAGCAGCAGCAGCAGCAGCAGCAGCAGCAGCAGCGGGATCCCGCTGCCGCCGCTGAAGGACTACCGGCCGCTGAAGTGCATCGTCACGCAGCCGCGAAGACTTGCATGCATTTCTTTGGCGCAGCGCGTGGCCAGAGAGCTGGGGGAAGACACGGGGGGAGTTGTGGGCTACAGAATTTCTGGGGAGAGCAAGACCAGCCGCCGCACCAAGATCTTCTTCATGACCACTGGTTACTTGCTGCAGATCCTCATCAACGCGCAGCCGGCCCTCTCCCACATCCTCACGGAGGAGGAGCTCAACTTGGAGGCCGCGGGCAAGCTGGCGGTGCTGAAGCAGCGCGCAGCAGCAGCAGCAGGGGGGTCTGCCGCTGCTGCTGGCGCCGGCAGGGAGCTGCTGCAGGAGGAGGAGCCCCCGGAGGAGGGGGGGCCCCCCGGGGCCCCCGGGGGGCCCCCGGGGGCCCCCGGCAGCAGCGAAAGCTACCTGGATAGCGTGACGCATGTGATTTTGGACGAAGTGCACGAAAGAGATGTGGATGCAGATTTGCTGTCGCTGGTGCTGAAGCTGCAGCTGCGCAGCCGCGTGGGCCGGCTGAAGGTGGTGGTGATGAGTGCCACGATGGAAGGCAATTTGTTCTTCGATTATTTCTCAGACATTCATCTCCGAAGAGTTCCGGGGGAGGGCGCGGGCCGCCAGCTGCGGCCTGAGGCCGGCGGCCGCAGCAGGGGCGCCGGCGAGCCCGCAGCAGCAGCGGCAGCAGCAGGGGCCGCCGCAGCAGCAGCAGCAGCGGGGGAGGGGGGCGCGAGGGGGGAAGCAGCAGCCAGCGAGCTCGAGAGGGAAAGGGAAACGCAAAGACACTTTCCAGATAAGATCTTCGTGGGGGCCCGCAGATTTCCCGTACAAACTCTTTATATAGACGACTTGCTGGGGGCCCCGCAGCAGCAGCCGGCGCTGCGGCCCATCGCAGTCGAAGAGCTTTCGGGGCAGGGGCTCCTCATAGAAGGCAGGGACGAGGAGGCCCCCCAGCCAGAGGCCCAGCAGCAGCAGCAGCAGCAGCAGCAGCAGGAGGCACAGGGGGGGAAGCACACTGAGCAGGACGCAGGCGCTGCCAGCAGCAGCGGCGAGGGCGCAGACGGTGCGGACGCAGCGACAGATAACCAGCAGCAGCAGCAACAGCAGCAGCAGCAGCAGAGAGGTGACCCTGACATATTCAGTGCCCTGCTCGCCCGGAAGGACGTGGTCGCCTCAAAGATGTTCAGCTATTCCAGCCGCAACGCCCTGTCAGAGGTGAGCAGCAGCACCAGCAGCTGCTGCTGCAGCCTTAGGCAGCTAAGAAAAGATCGAATTTGCTGCTCTTTAGGAGGCCTGTGGACTCTACAGACACATTTGTGCAGCTGCAGCGATTCTTGCGAGCTTTCACCCGTGCCGTTGTTTCTGCAGCGACGGTCCTGCCCGCTTCGTACTGGGCGCTGCTGCTGTTGCTGCTGCTGTTGCTGCTGCTGCTGATGCTGCTGCTGCTGCTTCCGCTGTTGTGGCTGTGGCCCGCAGGCAATGCGCACTTTCGACACCAAGGCCTTGTCGACGGAGTCAGGCGTGCAGCCCGATATTCAAAAAGGCAAGTGGTTTTTCTTGGGCAGGCTCTATCTAGATGTAGACTAGCTGCCAGCTAGCTGCCAAGCCAGCCAGCTAGCAGCTAGCTGCCAGCTAGCTGGCAGCTAGCTAGCAACTAGCTAGCAACTAGTTAGCAACTAGTTAGCAACTAGGTAGCAACTAGCTAGCAACTAGGCACCTACTAGCTACCAGCTACCCAGGAGCTAGCTAATGCAGCACCTGGGCATTATGCAGCTGAATTTCAAACAAGCGAAGCAGCTAGCCAGCTCACCAATCAACGCAGCTGCAGCTTAGCTCCGGAGTTGAGTTGGCCTTCTGCTAGCGTTGCCAGTTGGCTGGCTAGCTACCTAGTTACCAAGGTTATTGGTTAGCTAGCTGGCTGGCTAGCTTTGTAGATAGCTAGGTGGCTAGCTAGCTAGGCAGCTAGACAGCCAGGTAGGCTGTTAGCTCCGTAGGTAGCTAGCTGGATACGCAGCGAACTCTGTAGCTAGCTAGCTCTGCAGTTAGCTAGCCCTTTGGTTGGGTAGCTCTGTAGGTAGCTGGCTCTATGGCTGCTCGCTAGCTCTGCAGGTGGCTAGCTGGGTAGGTAGCTAGCTCGCGGGTTAGCTAGCCCTGCGGCTAGCTAGCCAGCTGTGGACTTAGCTAGCTAGCTGGCTAGCTGCTGCGCGTTTTGTGGGGGCTGGCTGCAGGGCTAGACCGGGTATGCGTGGACTTAGTTTCAACTTTGGCCTACGGAGGCGAAACAGTCTTGGTCTTTTTGCCGGGTATTGCGGAGATTTCGACGCTTTTCGAGGCCCTGGCGTCCCTCGAGAGGGGCCCCCTGGGGGCCCCTGTTCGTGGGGGGGGCCCTGCTGCGTCCGAGGGCGACCGCGCCTCCGGGGCCCCCGGGGGCCCCGGGGGCCCTGACGGTACCCCCAGCCCCGCTCAGCCGGCCTGCAAGCTGTTTGTGCTGCACTCGACTATAGGGCGGGAGGAACAGGCCGAAGTCTTCAGCGCGCCTCCAGCAAATGTTTGCCATGTGGTTTTGGCCAGCAACATTGCGGAAAGTTCTCTGACTTTGCCGAACTGCAGAGTCGTTATTGACTTTTGCCTCCGCAGGCAAATGATTTACGACCCGGTAACCCCCCCGAAGCACCAGCCCTAGCCCATAAACCCTAAACCCTAGCCCCCAAACCCTAGCCCCTAAACCCTAAATTCTAGGCGCTAATCTCAAAACCCTGAGGAGCGTGCCTGCTCGCACTTCAGCTAGCTGGGGCGTTTTCTGCTGTCTCCAGAATTTGCACGAAGAGCCGTGCAAGAATTTTAGAGGCTCTTTGCTCTCTGCCTTTAGTTCTTGCTGCTTGGTAGGGGGCTGGGGTTCCTTTTTGTCTAAATTTCGGTCACTTCTGGCTTATTTTGTCTCCGTTTTTCTCTTCTTTTCTCCTTTCATCTCATTTTACTTTGTTTAATGTCCTTTTCCCTTCTTTTGTCTCCTTTTTTCTTTTTTTCCTCTCGTTATCTCCCTTTTTCTGACTTTTTTGCCACTTCTGCAGCGCCGCCACGCCTCCGCACTGGTCAAGTCCTGGACTTCCCACGCTTCTTCGCAGCAGCGCAGCGGCCGCACAGGTGGGCAGCAGGTCGGGGGCCCCCGCAGCACTGGCCTTTTTCAGGAAGCTCATTCTGTACCTTTGGGGCCCCGGGGGCCCTCTTTGGCCCCGGGGCCCCCTTTGGGCATTTGCATGCATAAAGAACCTCTTGGGGCATATAGATGCACAGAGATATTATCATGGGTGCAATGAGCTGGGGTCCTGTGGGGGCCCCTGGGACCCTATGGGAGCCTCTGGGGCCCTAAGCGGATCCCTGAGGCCCTAAGGGGGCCCCTGTGGCGGTGCTGCCGCGCCTCATCCCTTTGCATGGAGCTTTTATGTATTTATATACATATATGTATGTATAGAAGTACACCATACGCATAATAACACATTTATGCATTTCAGTCTGCCACATGTATAAATGTGTTGAATATAATGCAGCCATCCATATATGGCATATTTTTGTATATAGCGAGGGCCCCTTTGGAGTGCCTTTCGGTGTGGGGGCCCCCTTTGATTCCCTTTTGCATTGAGGGATCCTTTTGAATCCCTTTTGCCTTGGGGGCCCCTTTTGAGTGCTTTTTGCTTTGGGGGCCCCTTGTGAGTACGTCTTGCTGCGGGGCCCCTCTAGAGTGCCTTCTTTATCGGGCTTCCGCTTGAATTCTTTTTGCTCGAGGGGCCCCCCTCTCCGATCGCTTTTTGCTTCGGGGCCTCTTCGGGGCCCCCTTTGATTCCCTTTTGTTTTGGCATCCCGTTGGCACTCCTTCAGGCCCCTTTCGCTTCGGGGTCCCTGTTGAGTGCTTTTTGCTTAGGGGCCCCCTTGAGTCCTTTTTGCTTAGGGGCCCCCTGACTGCCCTTTGGTTAGGGGCCCTCTTGAATACCCTTTGCTTGAGGGCCCCTTGAGTCCTTTTTGCTTAGGGGCCGCTTAAGTGCCCTTCGGCTAAGGGGCCCCCATGAGTCCTGTTGCTTAGGGGCCCCCTTGAGTGCCGTTTGCTTGGGGTGTTCCCCTTGGTGAGGGGCCCCTGATGGGTTTTGTGCGGGTGGAGTGCTGCGGGCGTGTAGGCCGGGTGTTTCCTGGGGTGTGCGTGCGTCTGGTGTCTTCGTCGTTTTACAACAAGTGTCTGCGCGTCTTTGACCTTCCCGAAATGCAAACTGCGCCTCTCGACAAACTCTACATAACTGTGGCCCACCTCACCAAGCGCCTCAACGCCATAGCCAAGGCAGCCCACGCCCTCTCCCCCACAGAAGCTCCCCCGCTCCAGCCCAGGGACAGGCCCAGCACTATACAGGGTGAGGGGCCCCTCCCCCTCCTGGGAGCCCCTCAGGCTCTCCGGGGACCCTCCGATGGACCCCTGGAGGCCCTCTGGGGGCCCCTGGAGGCCCTCGGGGGGCCCCTAGAGGCTCTTTGGTGGTTCCTGGAGGCTTTCTGGTGGACCCGGGAGACCCTCTGGGGCCTCCAAAGGCTCTTTGAGGGCCCCCGAGGGACTCCTGAGGCGTGGGAGACCTTTGGGGGCCCCTAGCTTTCAGAAGGGGCCTGCCGGGGCCTGCCTACGGGTAGTTCAGGCTAGCGCTAGGATGTTGCTGTGGCAGGGCCCCGCTGCTGTGTGCATGCAGCTTTGGGGACTGTGGGGTTTTTGTTGCTGCTGTTTGCTGCAGAAAGCATGCGAGCCGGCTCTTTGACCCCGGCTCAGCTACTGCTGCTCACTGTACAGCCGCCTCCCGTCTCGGCCCTCACTGCTGCACAGGCAAGCCGAGAAGCCCCTGCTGCTGCTGTTGCTGTAGCTGCTGCAGTAGCGGCTCGTACAGCAGCAGCAGACGACTTGTATCCCTTTAGGGAGCGTCCCGGCCCACAGCACTGGGCGTGTTGCCGTGGAGCGGGGCTTTTGCGAGGTTTGGGGTTTAGGGTTTAGGGTTTCGGGTTTAGGGTTGCGTGCAAAGGGTCTTCTGCTGCCTTCAGGCGGGTTTAAGGGAACAGGGCGCTCTGGACGCTAACGGGGAAATAACGCGTTTAGGCTATTTGATGATGCAGCTGCCTATAGACGTCCGGCTCTGCAAGTCAGTCTTTCTAAACTAATTCACTCTAATAAGCCAGACCTCTCGGGGCCTCCGGGGTCCCCGGGTCCCCAGGGGCCCCGTCCCAGGGACTTTGAGCCCCGGGCCCCCGCCGGGGCCCCATCCTAGGGCCTTTGGGCCCCGGTGCCCGACCGGCGCCCCCTCGGGGCCCCTCCTTGGGTCCTCTCCGGGGCCCCCGCGGGGCCCCCGGGGCACCGCGGGGCCCCCCTGGGGCCCTCTGGCGAGGAAGCTGTGGCATTAAAATAGGGTACAGGAGGCCCTTATGGAACAATTGGGGAGGTGCTTTGATGTGTGGGTGTTTGCAGGCTTGTGTTTTTGGGAATTGCTTTTGGATGCCCGCTGGACGCGGTGGTGTTGGCGAGTTGTTTGGCGAGTTCGGACTTGTTTGCTTTTCCAGCTTTGATGCTGCTGCAGCGGCATTCGAAGGTTTCTGCGGGCTTGGAGGCTGCGCTGCAGCTGCAGCACCAGCTGAAGTCCAGGGCCCTTTTCGACGGCGGCCACTTTTCCGAGCCGCTCATGCTGCGGTGAGTGCTGCTGCGGTTTTTGCTGCTGCACAAGCAGCAGCAGCAGGCGAGACGCGAGTGCGGCTCCTGCGCGGCTGGTGCGGTGTACGAACGCCGCGCCCCACAGCTCCCGGGTGTACGTACACTCCAGCGCGGCGCACTTCAGCGCCAACGACCTAGAGCCATTATCGTTGCTGCTCTCTTTTCTTTCACCGCGCTGCTGCAGCGCAGCAGCAAAGGCTGCGCCCCAGCGCGCGATTTCTGTGCTGCTGCTGCAGTTCAGCAGCGCCCGTGTCTGTTAGCAGCTCATCTATCTCCTTGTGTTTGTCTTTTTACTGCATCTTGTCCCTTTTCCATCTTCAAACGAGGCTTTTCGCCTTTGCTGCTGCTGCTGCAGCAACTGCTTCGTCGAGTTCCTACTGCACTTCGCCTCCTCCACTGCGGAGCTGCGCGCGCGGTTGGCGCGCCAGGCGGCATCTAGCCACTCTCGCCGTTTGGAAATGAACATGAAAGTAGGGCGCACCTCCAGCTACTATTGCTGCTGCTGCTGCTGTTGCTGCTGCTACTTCTGGTAGCCTTAGTGACTGTGGGGTAGGAGAAGTCCAGACGCAGCTGTGTCGCGCCGCTGTTGCAGCAGTTTGATTTGCTGCGGTGAGCACGTTGCTGCTACGGCTGTTGTTGCTGCTGCTGCTGCTGCTGTTGCGCGCAGGTGGAGTACAACAGGGCGGCCCGGGAGTTCGGGCGCATGCACGCAGTGCTGCCGAAGCGGCTCATCCAGACCACACTTCTTTGCTGCGACCTTTGCCAGCGGGTCTTGAAGCTGGTGGATGCCTGTAAGTGGTTGCAGCGGCGCGGGGGGTCCCCCTCTTGGGTGGCTGGGGGCCCCCAGGGGCCCCCAGCAAGGGCCATGCCCCCTGTGTGCATGTATCTTGTTGCTTGCTGCTTGCTGCTGCTGCCCGTTTGCTGAGCCTTTTTACATGCCATAGCCTGATTTAGAAGCGACGGGACTGCAGTCACGTCCTCAAATTTCCCCGCTGCTGCTGCTGCTGCTGTTGGTTGCAGCCTCCACAGCGTACAAGCGTCTCAGCTTCTTGCTGCAGCTGCTCCAAGACGGGAGGATTTTCCCTCCACATCTTCAGCAGCAGGCTGCAGGCAAGGCAGGGGGCCTGCAGCAGCAGTGGCAGTGGCGGCGGGGTGACCCGAAGCAACAGCAGCAGCAGCAGCAGCAGCAAGCGCAGCGCTTTGGGGGCGAGGCAACGGGCGAGCTGGAGACGGCAATATCGTACGACCCCCAAGCAGCAGCCGCAGCAGTGGAAAACCACTTCGTCTCAGACCCCATTCTTCTCAAGGCGCTGCTTGCTGCTTCTTTTTCTCCTTCCTTCATGGTTGGAAAAGTCAAGAAGTGCATCGACGGAGAGAAACTGGTCGACAAGGAGGACACGGAAGACGCAGACGAGGGATCCGTGGCCCTGTACAGCTGTAAGAGCTGCTGCTGCTGCTGCTGCTGTTGCTGCTCGCCTTGCTGTTGCTGCTGCTGCTGTTGATGGCGGCGCCGCCGGAGTCAGGGTCTAGCTGGCTGCGGCAGTGGCTTACAGGGGGGCTGCTGCTGCATGCATTCGCTCACATTGTTTGCGGCTTGCTGCTGTGTTCTGCTGTACCTTTTTTGGAGCCCCCACAGCACACTGCTGCTGTTCAGGCTGCTTGGGGATGCATGCACAGGCTCCTGCTGCTGCTGCTGCTGCTGCAGCGTATTTACCCGCTCGTAGCCAGTATGCACTCACTTGTGCTCGTGGGAGTGCCCGCTGCTGCTGCTGTTGCTGCTGGTGCTGCTGCAGGGTTGGCGGAGCGGGGAGTTGAACTGAGCCGGTGTTTGTTTTTCAACCGCGTGTTTGGCTTTGGGAAGATGAGCCAGATGCAGTCGGCGCTTTCTTTGGTGCTGCCCGGGGTGGACTTTTTGCTGATTTACGGAGACAGTCTGTCTCCGTATGTGGAGCTGTTTGCGTCTTCTGCTGCAGCAGCAGAAGACGCAGCAGTGCTGTCGCTGTCCCGCAGCAAGACCCCAGAGAGCCTGGGCTCCTGCGTGATTCTGTACTTGCCACCGACTTCCCGCAACGAGTGCTTCAACTATGACTCGAAGCTGGCAGCAGCAGCAGCAGCAGCTTACAAGAAGGAGCTGCGCTGCCCGCCGACTGCTGCTGCAGTGCTGGCGCAGCAGCAAAAGCGGAAGCAGCTGGACGAGCAGCTGGAGAAGCAGCTGATGGACGAAATGCAGAAAAACCCCGAAAAGGCCCTTTTGGATGATGGTGACTCCGTTTTGGAAAATCTGGGATGCGGGCCTGTCCACATTGCCAGCAGCAGCACTCTTTGCTGCCCCGAACTCAAAGAAGTTAACGAAAAAATTGCGCAGCAAGAGTTCATCAAAGGCCAGCACTTTCGCCCCTGCAAGCTCTTCGCCTCTCACCCTGCATGCGCCCAACTCATCAACCAGTTTGCATGCGGCCGCTGGAAGTTCTCTCTTTCAGTTCCTGCTGCTGCCAAACCTACTTCTCCGGAGAACAGGGAATCCTCAGAGGCTCCTGGCGAGTGAGCCCCCATACCACCTGCGGCTGCCGCTGCAGCGGCAGCAGCAGCAGTGCGCAGCAGTGTGCAGCAGTGTGCAGCAGCAGCAGCAGTGCACAGCAGCAGCAGCAGTGTGCAGGAGGAGCAGCAGCAGCGTGCAGATGCCGGGCGGCGTGGCCGAAAGGCACGGGCTCGCATGGGTCGTGGACTGTGTGCGGTTGCTGCAGGTCATCCGGCGGGGCAGCAGAAGGGCCTTTGGCCGCAGCAGCAGGAGCAGCAGCAGGAGCAGCAGCAGCAGCAGCAGCGCCGGCGGTGTGCCTGGAGGTGGTGCGCCCCGTGTCCCCCTTCGGGGTCACCTGGTACTTCGTGGCCCCGCAGGAAACCCCCAGCCCCCCCACATCCAGCGGAAAAGCTCCCAAAGTTGTTAAAGTCCAGGGCATTTTGAGTTACCGCAGCCCCATGGGGGTCCTTAGTGTTTGTCCAGAGCCCACGGAGACTGCTGCTGCTGGCCGCCGCGTCTTTCACCAGGTGCGGTGGGGGCCCGGGAGCGCAGCAGCAGCAGCAGCAGCGGCGGCAGCAGCGGCAGCAGCAGCAGCGGCAGCTTCAGGAGGGGCAGCAGCAGGAGGGGCAGCAGCAGGAGGGGCAGCAGCAGGAGGGGCAGGCAGCAGCAGGGGCAGCAGCGAAGGCAGCAGCAAAGGCAGCAGCAAAGGCAGCAGCAAAGGCAGCACGGGCCCTTTCGCGGGCCCCCAGGGCCCAAGGGAGCGCTGCAGCGGCTGCCTCTGTCTCCTCCGTAAAACGGCTCTTCTTGTCCCTGCCGGGCCCAGCTGCTGTCCCTTTGCGTCGCGTCTCTCTGCTGCTGCTGTCTCCTGCCTCTCTAGCTTGGCTTGGCCGCTGCTAGCTCGCCCTCGCTGCTGCTGCTGCTTCTGCTGCCGCGCAAGCTGGCGGACCTGGCTGCCGCTGCTGCTGCTGCTGCTGTTGTTCCGCGAGCCGGCGGACCTGGCTGCTGCTGCTGCTGCTGTTGCTGCGCGAGCCGGCGGACCTGGCTGCTGCTGCTGCTGCTGCTGAGAGGGGACGCTGGCTTGCGCTGGGGTGTGTGCTGCAGCCGTGGGAAGTCTACGCAGTGGCAGTGGCGCAGCAAAACAAAGACAGCATTTCGCAGGCCTGGGCTGAGGGGGTCACAGTGCTACCGCAGCGGGAAGCAGTTCTTCTCATGTTGGCTTTTTTGCCCGGCAGCGCCCACGTCGAAATCACAGTGAAAGCCTCTACAGACTCGCCCGTGGCCATCACCAAGTGAGGCACCTCGCAGCAGCAGCTGCAGCAGCAGCTGCAGCAGCAGCTGCAGAAGCGGCAGCGACAGACTCGACCAGCAGCAGCAGCAGTGCGAACAGCAGCAGCAGCAGCTTGCCGTTGGCTGGACCGATGCCGCTCCGCGCCAGCAACACTAAGGGCTGAGGGCTTTAGGGTTTAGGGTTTAGGGCTTAGGGTTTGTGGTGTTGTTTTGGAGCTCAGCATCGAGATGCTGGAGGGGATGAGTCTGTCTCAGAATGCGAATTCGCCGTCAGTGACAATAGGGGATTTGCTGCGGCTGAATGTGCTGCGGCACTTGATGTCGAAGGCGCTGCAAGGAGACGCAGAAGCAGCAGCAGCAGCACTGCAGCCAGTTTCTGCGCGCCCGGGCGCCAAGGGCCGCCAGCCCACAGAGGCCCTCTTAGTAGAAGATGGCCACGGCCAGCTCCAGGAGGCCCTTGCTGAAGTTCTGTCTCAGTGCAATTTCCCCGTCACCGCCTCTCAGGTCAACGAGCTTCTTCTCCGCGCAGGTCCCCAAACACTTCCACTGCCCCAACCACCGGCAACGCGCCCCTGGGGGGCCCCGGGGGGGCCCCCGGGGCCCCAGGCGTGTCCAGGGGGGCCCCGGGGGGCTCCCCGGGGCCCCAGGGCCATTCCAGGGGGCCTTCGCAACCCTCGGGGCCCCCGTGGGACCTCAGGGGCGCCCGCCCGTGGGCCCCCCGGAGCTCCGGGGCCCCCGTAGAGCCTCCTCCAGGGCCTGTTGGGCCTCCCTGGGGCCCCCGTCGTGCCACAGGGGCCCCCTTGCGCACCCCAGGGCCCCCCAAAGAGGCCTCGAGGGTCCCGAGGGGGCGGCCCCCGGGGCCTCCGACCTGGGCGCGTGAGGGTCCTGCCACAGTGCTGCAGTGCTGCAGTGCTTAGGGGTGAGTGCGGGTGTTGTGGGGTGGCGCAGGCGCTGTTGCGGACCCGCGAGTGCACTTGCTGTTTCACCGGGGGCTGCCGCTGCGGGGCGAAGCCTCGGGGCGAAAAGGCAGCAGCAAAAAGGGAGGAGACAGCATCTTTTCCTTCACTTTGTCTGCCTTTGGGCCCCCCAAGGCTGCTGACTCTGCCTGCCTGCCCCCCTTCAACATTGCGGCCATTGCCCAGCACTTCCACGGCCTTCTGCAGGTGCGTCGGCTGCTGCAGCAGGCTGCTGTAGCAGCCCAGAAGCCTTGAGCGGCGCTGCTGCTGCTGCTGCAGCGGCAGCGAACTCAATAGAAACTTAAGTGGACTAAGCGCTGAGATTATAGGTGCTTTTTTGCGCATGCAGTGGGTGCCCCTGGAAGCTCCCATTGTCCTTTGCGCGCCGAGTGTATAGACTGTTAGGCTGCTGCTGCAGCAGGGCTGCTGCTGCAGCGAGGCTGCTGCTGCAGCAGGGCTGCTGCTGCAGCGAGGCTGCTGCTGCAGCGCGCGCCCGCTGTAGACCCGCAGGAGCAGACTGCATCTTTTGCGTGGTGTGCACTGCAACGTGTTTGCAGGAATCCCAGCGACGAGCACCAGAGCCTCGCAGCAAAAAGCAGCAGCAGCAAAATCAGGCGTCTCGGCGTGGGGCAGCACACGGGGGCAAACAGAAGGGGAGAAATGCTAACGCGGGAGGCAGCAAGCGGGGGTCTCAGGCGAATGCACAGAGAGGGCAGGGGCAGTACCAGCAGCAGCAGCAGGCACAGGGAAGACAATCGCAGCAGCAGCAGCAGCAGAGGGCTTCGGGCCGCAGGAGAGGCAGGGGCGGTCAGTCCTTTGCTCAGTCGGCAGGAGACAACCGCCAGCAGCAGCAGCAGCAGCACACGCAGCAGCAGCAGCAGCAGCAGGGTCAGCCGCAACAGCAGCGGCATCAGCAGCAGCAGCAACAGCAGCAGCGCTTCCCCGCGGGCTTTGTTCAGTTTTCAGACCCGAAACGGGGGGGCCCTTCTGGCCACCGCGGGGCCCAAGATATGCAGCAAGCGGCACCCTTGCCTTTTAAGCAGCAACGTGGGGTCCCACCGCCGCCAGCTGGTAAGGAGGCACTCCTATGCGCACCGTGCAGCAGCAGCAGCAGCAGCAGCAGCAGCAGCAGCTGCAGCAGCAGGGGGAGCGAGAGGTTGTGTTGTGTGTCGTGCAGGCGCTGCTGTCAACAGCAGTGACCCATCGCTCGGCCAGCCCTTGGCGCCGCACCACAGAGCTTAGTAAGCACTTAGTGCTGCGCTGTGTAGTGCCCCTTTAGCAGCAGCAGCAGCAGCAGCAGCAGCAGCGGCTGCGCAGCGGCAGTCGTATAGCATCATTAGATCTTTGGTATATGAGTCTCTCAGGGGTTCTGTCTGCCATGTATGTCGATTCCCCCCTTCTTTTCTTGCTCTAAAATTAATAAACGGCAGCAAAGGGGCTGGTATGGAGCAAGCGCGGGCGGCGGGGCAGCAGAGCCCTTGGGCGCCGTACCGCTGCCGCTGCTGCCGCTGCTGCTGCTGCTGCCGCTGCTGCTGCTGTTGCTCCTGCAGTGCCATGTACTGCTGCATGCAGCCGACACGGCAATTAGTGGGTTTCTTCCGCCCCGCTGCTCCTGCAGCGCTGCTGCTGCCACTTGCTGCTGCGCGTGTCTTGCTGCTGCAGCCGTATGGACCCACTCCAGGCGCACGCTGCGGACGGCGGGCAGCACATGGGCGTTCCTGTTTACAGCCGGCAGCAGCAGCAGCAGCAGCACCACGCGTCGCCTTCTAGATACGGAGGAGTCACAGGTGCAGCTTGTGCAGCAGCTGGTGGTGCCCCAACTCTACTGCAGCAGCACCCGCAACAAGCTTATCTCCCTCCCTACAGGCAGCCGCAGCAGGTGCAGCAGCACCCCTACGCCCACAACCCTTACGGACTGCAGCAGCCCTTCTTGGATGCTTCTCGCCTTCCCCGGCAGCAGCACATGCCTCTTGCTGCTGTCGGGGGGACGGCGCCCCTGCAGCAGCTGCAGCAGCTGCAGCAGCTGCAGCAGCTGCATCTCGGCGCTGCTGGCGCGCCGCAGCAAGCACATGCACAGGCAGCAGGGTACAGGGCCCCGCATGCTGCAGCGCTGCTGCAGCAGCAGCTGCGAATCCCCCCAGTGCATGGGGGCAGCGCCGGAGGCCACCAGAATATGTTTGGGTCTTATGCGGGTAGATGAGACTTCGCCGTGGGTGGCCGTGGGCGAGCTTGCAATATGTTTGGTTTTGCTGCTAAGTCGTTTTCTGCTGCAGTTTCCATTCCTTCTTTCCTTTTCTTTTTTCGGTCTGAAGCCGCAGCCTGTCGTTTTATCTGCTGCTAGGGCAGCAGCGCAGCCTCAAGTTCACCAGAGGCTGCTGCGTTTGGCTTCAGCGGCCTCGTGCGCCTGCTGCTCTGCAGCAGCAGACCTCAGGTAGTTTTACCTTCCTAATGCAGCAACGGCTCTGTGCAGCGACGCGCGGTTCTTGATGCTGGCGTGCTGCTGCTGCTGCTGCTGCAGCAGCAGTTCGCGACACTGCAGCTGGGCACTATTAGCTCCAGCCCTCACTATGTAGTCTAGTGTCTGTCGATAGAAGCAGCAATAGAAAGCATAGTTGCAGCACAAAAGATTTGGGAGCCTTCAGTGGCACGTAGCAGAGGCAGGAGCGCGAGTTGCTGCTGCAGCCAGCAACTCGCCAGTTGATGCTGCAGCTAGCTGCATTAGCCTCAGGTTCAGTTCGAATTTGGCTGCCGTTTTAGCAGCAAATAGAGCGACAGGAGCAGCAGACCCCGCAGCAGACAACAGGCAGGCTAGGCAGCAGCTTGTGAACAACATAGGAGAAAATCCCGCAAACATAAAATTGCTGCAGCAGCTCATCTACTGCATGCAACCCTAGTATGTTCAGGTTGCCCTGGTGCATGCTAGCAGCAGCAGGGCTACGGTACCAGGCAGCAGCAGCATCGCTGCAGTTCAAGAGAGTCAGAGTGCTGCTGCAGATGAGGAGCGTTCCTACTGCCGTCGGGCTTTCAGTGTTGCGCTGCAGCTGCTGGTGGCTGCTCTGTCTGCTGCTGGTCGCTGTTGCAACTGCCGGCTGCCTTCTCTGCTGCTGCTCGGAGCTGCTGCTAGTCGCTACTCTGCTGCTACGCTGCTGCAGGGGTTGCCCCAGTTGCTGCAGGCCCTGCCGTTCTGGTTTCTGCTATGAGCCCTGAGCAGCACTGCAGCAACGAGCAGATTCGGCGGCCGCAGGGGTGCAGCAGGAGGCGAGGCAGCAGCAATGAAGACAAAAGGAGCACGCGAAAGAGACTCGAGCAGCAGCAGCTTCCCTAGAGAAGCTGCTGGTGCTGCTGGGCTGCCTCTAAATAAAATCTTCATGAAGAAAGGCTTTAGTGCTTTGGCTGGGCAACTAATTCGCCTTCCATCTCGAAAAAGAAATTGGAAAAATAAAATAAAAAGAGAAATAAAGATGAAATTGTCCGCTACCTGGGGTTTCTCCGTGGCCTCCAAGCAGCAACAGCAGCAAAACTAGAGAGGCAGCCGCTGCTGCTGCTGCTCCCACTATTTTGCACTGCAGCAGCAGCAACGGCTTCGGCGCACAGAAAGGTCTCTGCAGCCGCTGCTTCATGGCGTCTAAGGAAAGCTGTTTCAAAATTAATAGCTTCTGAGCTAGACAATGCCTCTCTTGGCTGGCTAGTCGCTAGCTAGCTAGCCAAGTTAGGCCATCCCACTGGGCTGGCTAGCGACAGCGAGCTGCCTAGCTCGCTGTGGCTAGCCAGGCAAATCCGTGGGCCGCATAAGTAGAAAGCTAGAAAAGGCCTTTTGAGACAGAATCGCAGCAGAAATTGTATCATTAGCTGGCCTTCTTTGGCGAACTGCCTTGCTGCTGTGGCTGCGCCGCCTGCGGCAGCTCTCGCTCTTGCTGTTGGGGACTGTTTTGCTGCTGCTGCTGCTGCTGCTGCTGCTGCTGTTGCTGTTCTTCTTTCTGCTGCATTTCCCTTTGCTGCTTGAGCTGCATTTCCTGCACAACTTGTTGGTCCGCCTCTCTCCAGGCTTTGGCCATTTCGAGGGCCTGACGGCTGTCATCTCTACAGAATAAAAAGAAACCCTGGAGCTCCGCCATGCCTGCAGCAGCAGCAGCAGCAGCAGCAGCGGCGCAGGAGAGTCAGCCCAACCCTCTGTGTGGCACATGACAGCAGCAACAGAGCAGCTAGCTCTCTGTGCTGCCTTCAGCGCTAAGAGGGAAAGAGAAAAAAGAAGGCCCGCCCGGAGAGCAGCAAACCAGCTTCACGCTGCAGCACCAAAGATTTTCGCAGAACAAGCCCTAGAAAAGCCCTGTGGCACTATTAACTATGGGCCAGCAGCCGCAGCAGAGGGGAACTTGTAGCAGCAGCAAAAATGGCGCTTACTAATTTGCAGGGGAGCTAACAAAGAAACAAATTCCTCTGCAGTCTCGGCCGTGGCATCCGGCAGAAAGCGGAAGAACTGCAAGCAAAGCAGCGCAGCAGCCTTCCGTGGCATTTCGCTCTACCTGCAGAGCCCTCTTGCCCGCTGCTGACTGCTGCTGCTGCTGCTGCTGCTGCTGCTGCTGCGCCTCAGGCCCCAGGCCAGAAGCAGCCTCACCTGGCGCCTGAGCTGGTCCGGCGTGGCGAAGCCCACGCGGACCTTCAGGTCGACGCGCCCGGGGCGGATGAGGGAGCTGGGCAGCCTGCAGCAGCAACAAGCAGCAGCAGCTAGCAGCAGCAGCTAGCAGCAGCAGCCAGCAGCAGCAGCTAATCGCACGACTCGGAGAGAGGCTAGGCACAGGAAGCGAGCCGAAGGAAACAAAAATTACAACAAAAAGACAGAAACAGGAAAAGAAAACAGACACAAACAGCAGAAAGCCGCATTTTAGGCGAAGACCCGAGAAAGTCGAAAATCCGGCTAAGACCCACAAGCCTTAAAGATTGCGGGGCAGCAAAGAGAGCCACACAGAAAGGCATATTAAAGGGAAAAGAAAACACAGCAATCTTCCCTTCAAAATAAACTTGGAAGAGTTTAAAATGCAAAAAGCACAGAGAAAAGGCGAAAAGAAACACAGAAGCAGCAAATCCGGAAGCAGCGCTGCAGCAGCCAGCAGCTGAGCAGCCGCAGAATTTGGGAAGACAGCAGCCACAGAGGCAGCAGCCAGAGGCAGCAGCAGCTCGCCGCAGCGCATGTGCGGGGCCCCACAGCAGCAACGGCAGCAGCAAAGCAAGGAGGCTGTGTCACCTTTCCGGATGGTTTGTAGTCAGGAATATGATGCGTTCTTCCGTTGCCACCACCTGGCGCCCCACACAGTAGCAGCAGCAGCAGCAGCTCTTAACAAACCTCCCTGTCGCAGCTGATAGATGCAAGACACGCCAGCAGCAGCAGAAGCAGCAGCAGCAGCAGCAACCGCGGCAGCAGCTGCGGCCCACGTACGCCGTCAAGCGCGTTTAGGAGTCCACTGAAGGTGATGCTTCTTGTGCCGAAAGGGTTTAGAGAGAGCTGCGTGAGGGAAGGCCGATCTGCTGCTGCTGCTGCAGCAGCCTTTCCGTCTGCTGCCTCGGAGCGACGAATGGCTCCGTCGATGTCCTCCAGCAGCAGCAGAGAGCGCGGGGGAACTGTCCTGCACACGGAGGCAGCAGAATTCTCAGCCCAGCAGCCCAGCTGTTTTCTGCGCTGCTGCTGCTGCTGCTGCTGCTGCAGCGCCTCTCCACCTGCCTGCAGCGAACCCTGCTGATCTCTGCAACTATTTGCTATCAAATGCCCGCGCCCCACAAGCAGCAGCAACACAGTTCCGTGCAGCTCGCAGCAGCAGACGGGGCGACAGGCGCACCGCTGCTGCTGCTGCGGCGTTGTCACTGCTGCCGCTGCAGCAGCGCCACAGCTCCAGCAGCAGCAGCAGCAGCAGCAGCAGCGACTGACGCAAGGAGGTACTGGAGCCTGTCGTCGGTCAAGTGGGGGTCCGCGACATTGAGGACACAAATGCTGTACTTCAACTCCCCAGCCAGGGCCAACACGAAACTGCTTTTGCCGCAGCCGGGGGGCCCGTGCAGCAAATAGCCCCGGCGGTAAGGAATGCCTCTTTGGAGGTACCACTGAGAAGAGGCCAGGAAGCGGCGCACGTCCGCCAAGATGCTCTCAGCCACGCCTTCTGCAGCAGCAGCAGCAGCAGCAGCAGCAGCAGCTGAGGAGAGGACAGGACGCCGCGCGCGTCTGCCGGGGTGCTTTCAGCCACGCCTTCTGCAGCAGCAGCAGCAACAGCGCAGCAGCAGCAGCACCACAAGCAGCGCCAGCAGCACGCGCTGCAGCCTGACGGCGAAACCCAGGAAGACCCGGCGAGGGGGCCCCCGAGAGATGGACGCCGCAGAAGACGGAAGGAAATAGCGGAAGCAGCAGCAGCAGCAGCAGAAGCAGCAGCAGAAGCAACGGAGCAGCAGCCATACTGAAGAGTCTTCACAACTTGCCTGCAAGCACCACAGACTCGAAGGGCCGCAGCTTTTTTGGCTCTCCGTACTTTCTCCACTCCTGGCCAGTGCTGCACCAAACCGCCGCAGCAAGACCAGCAGCAGCAGCAGCAGCAGCAGCAGCAGCATGAAGCCGCACCCTCAGGGAGCTTTAACCGCAGCAGTTTCAGGGGATGCACTGCGCAAGGCAGCAGCAGCAGCAACAGCAGCGCCTGCAGAGGCAGCAGGAGGCAAGGCAGAAGCGCTGCTTCGAGTCGCAGCAGCAAACACCGCAGAAGCAGCAGCAGCCAACTCACCTTCTGTAAATGATTGTGCGCCCCTCTTCCCGCTGCAGCGCTGCTTCTCTTGCTTCGTTTAGCTGCAGCCACAAACGCCAGGTGCGGTGCACATTCATTTGGGGTGTACGTACACCTCAAACAGCAGCCACGAAGAGCCATGGGCACGAGTCTAGCGAGCTATTTATCCAGCAAGCTCGCCCGCTAGCTGGCTAGCTGGCCCACTAGCTAGCTGGCCAGCTGGCTCGCTAGCTAGCTCGTTAGCTAGCTGCCTAGCTGGTTCACTAGCGAGCTGGCTCACTGGCTAGCTGGCTAGCTGGCCGACTAGCTAGCTGGCCCGCTAGCTAGAAGCAGCTGGCTACTTAGCTAGCTAGCTAGCTACCTAGCTAGCTGGCTCCTTAGCTAGCTGGCTCCCTAGCTAGCTGTCTGGCTAGCTAGCTGGCTTGCTAGCTAGCTGGGCGGCTGGCTAGCTAGCTGGCTAGCTAGCTGGCTAGCCACTCACGAGTTCGGTGATGCGGCCTCTGTAGAGGGAAAGCGTGGTGAGCGTCAGAGTCTCCCAGGGAGAGCCGGAGCTGAAGTCCACCACCTCTCCAGAGCGCTGCCGGTCTATCAGCAGCAGCGCCCCCTTGTACCGCAGCAAGTGCTGCCCTGGCCCCCGCACGCACCCGCAACGCTGCAGCTAGCTAGCTAGCTAGCTGGCTGGCTGGCTAGCTAGCTGGCTAGCTAGCTGGCTAGCTAGCTAGCGGGCTAGCCAGCGGGCTAGCTAGCCGGCTTGCCAGCTAGCTAGCTAGGTGCGCAGCTAGATTGGTAGCTAGCTAGGTATGTGGGTGGGTAGGTACGTGGGCAGCTAGCTAGCTAGCTAGCTAGGTGGCTAGCTGGTTGGCTTGCTAGGTAGGTAGTCAGCTAGCTGGTTACTTTGTAAGTCAGCTCGCTAGGCAGTTGGCTAGCTACCTAGGCAGCTAGATAGCCAGTTAGTTAGATGGCTAGCTGGCTAGCCTGCCATGTAGTTGGCTAGCTACCTACGGAGCTCGCCTGCTCGCTGGCTAGCTAGCTAGCAAGCAAGGCAGAGGTACTGGCAGCGCGGTAGCTAGCTCGTGGCTAGCCAGCTGGCCCGCGGGCAGCTAGCCAGCCATCGCTAAAACTAATCACTCAGGAAGGGTGTAGCTCGCACACTGAAAGGCCTAAAGCCAACAGCAGCAGCAGCAGCAGCAGCAGCAGCAGCAGCAGCAGCAGCATTTGTGAAGCACCTGGGCTCGGGACGAAGTTGAAAACGGCCTCGACGTTCCCCGCAGCGTCCTTGCCGTATGTTGTCTCCACTCCCAAGTGCAGCGAGCACTTCCCCCTGAACTCACACACATCTAGCTGCTGCTGCTGCTGCTGCTGCTGCCGTTGCTGCTGCTGCTGCTTTCGCTTGACTGCGCAGAGATGCCCCAGCTTCTTGTACGTTGCCCGGCCTGCAGGGGGAGGACTAAGTGCAGCAGGCGCAGCGATGCCAGCCGCAGCAAAAGCAGCAGCAGGACGCGCAGCAGCAGCAGGCGCAGCAGCAGCAGGCGCAGCAGCAGCAGACCCAGCAGCAGCAGCAGCAGCTTGCAAACTCGCGTACTTCGCAACAAGCCACTGCATGACCCAGGGGTAGGCAGGGTCTCTTATGGGGACCTCCAAAGAAGTCAGCAAACGGCGGCGGGCGAAGGCCTTGGCCGTGCGCACGGCCCCGCGGGTGAGGGAAGCAGCAGCACCTGCAGCAGCAGCAGCAGCAGCAGCAGCAGCAACAGCAGCAGCGGTCTCTCGTTATCCACAGACTGTGAGGCAAAAGCAGCGCGCGCGATTCAGCAACAGCGACGGCGACACCAGCAGCAGCGACGTCTGCAGGAGAATCTGCAGCTGCAGCAACAGCAGCAGCTACAACTGCAGCAGCAGCAGCAGCATCTGCGGCAGCAGCAGCAGCAGCGGGCCGACCCAGGCCTGCAAGGCCAAAGCCAGCGCAGAAGTAAGGGTTGTCGCTCAGAAAGTCCGGCAGCATCCGCCGCAGGAAAGAGGGCAAAGCGGAGGCCCTGGGGGCCTCTGCTGCTGCTGCTGGCGTGCTGCAGCAGCTCGCAGCTGTGCTGCAGTCCGCCTGTTGCTGCTCCATGGCTGCGCGGCAGCAGCAAATCTGGAAAATGCAACTAAGACAGAAACAGGGGACTCTAAGTCTGCAATTAGGAGAAAGAGCAGCTTCACAGAGCCACAGCGACCTCTAGAGTCCGGCAGCAGCAGCTGCAGCAGCAGCAGCTGCAGTTGTTGCTGCAGCAGGAACTGCTGCAGTAACTCCAGAAGAGCTGCAGCTCAAGCTGCTGCTGCTGCTGCGCCCGCTGCTGCTCTGCAGTCTCTGCTGTGTGCTTCTGCAGCAGAAGCCTGGATGCCCCCCTGGGGCCCACAGGGCCTCGCGGCCGACGGCGCCGGCCTCTGCGCAGCTGGGGAGTTCTGCACGAAGTATCGTGCAGTGTTAATATATAAATAAAGACATTTTAGTTAAATTTAAAAAAGAAAAGGAGCAGATAAAGGAGCAGCCGCAGGCAGCAGCCTGAGGCCCTCAGCGAGCAGCTGAGGCAGTGGGGGCCCCAGGGGGCCCCGGGGGCCCCGCGAGCTGGGTTCTGCAGCAAAAAAAGCCGCTGTTGAGGCCCCTAAAGAAAATTCTCGAATATTTATGGATTAAAGAAGTAAAAAGACACAAAAAATAAAAAGGAGAGAGTTACTGCGGGCCGGGAAATCGGCCTTGGCCAAAAACAGAAAGTATTTCTGAATTTCACATTGTCGAGCTGCGCCGCCTGGTGCGGGCCGCGGCGGTGTACGTACACCGGAAAAAAGAAGAAACTTATGCACTTTCTCAAAAAGACTTCTCCACTTTATCGAGAAAACTGCATTTGCTCGAGAGCCACTGCCCCACAGAAGAGTGGCCGCGAGCTGGAGGAAAAAGTGAAAAAAAATAAAGTGTGACAGAGGAGGAGCAGATGAGCTTCGTGCGCACTGCTCAGGTGTCTGTACAGCTGCTGCGCGCCAAAACCAGGTTTCCGTACAGCTGCTGCCAAAGCGAATTGCCAAAACTGTTTTGTTGAAGAGCGAAAAACTCCTGAGCTCGCTGCTGCAGCGAAGCCCACAGAAAACGGGCGGGAGAGAACTAATCCCGCCATTAATAATTAAGATTTCGCAAGCCAGCAGCTCGTTGACCAGTGGGCTGCTGCATGCGCGAAAGAACTGCAGCTGCTAATGTGGCGTTCAAATCGCAGCGGGAACCAGCTGCTGCTGCTGCTGCTGCTGCTGCTGCTGCTGCTGCTGCTGACTGTTGCGCCAGCGCTTGGCTGGGGCAGCAACTCAAGGCTAGTCAGGCAAAGTAACGCGCCAGTGCGGTCCCCCGTGGTTGAGGTGAAGCAGCTGCTGCAGCAGCTGCAGGAGCAGCTGTTGCACTGCAGCAGCAGCAGCAGCAGCAGGAGCTGTAAGGCGCTGGCGGCGGGCGCGTTGGGTGCGGAGGCCACGGCGAGGGATCAGCAGCAGCGGGCCCCGCAGCAGCAGCAGCTGGAGGCCCAGCAGCAGCAGCAGCGAGGCAACTACTAGCTCAAAAAACAAGGTGTGGGGTTTGCTGCAGCACTAGCTGCTGGGGGCGCAGGAGGCCCCGGGGGGCCCCCGCGAAGCACTTGCAAAGTTAAACAGATCATTCAAGCTTTCTTTTTGGTGAATGCGCCGAATGGCGTCGGCCAACAATATCGAAATCGAAAGGATTTTTATCTTCTTGCAACTCGTCACCATTGGACGCGCCTGCCAAACCACAAACCCCAAACCCTAACCCCCTAAAACCCTAAAACCCCAACCCCCCAAACCTCCCCCCAAACCCCCAAACCTCCCCTAAACCCCCAAACCTCCCCCCTAAACCCCCAAGCCT